ATTCCCAACAGCCCTTTAAGGGCAAATAATGTTGGCTCTATTTTTCTTTCCTTTTATTTTTCTTTTTTTTTGATAACGAGTTTTGCTCTTGTTGCCCAGGCTGGAGTGCAGTGGCGCAATCTCGGCTTACTGCAACCTCTGCCTCCCAGGTTCAAGTTATTCTCCTGCCTCAGCCTCCTGAGTAGCTGGGATTACAGGCATGTGCCACCTCGCCCAGCTATTTTTTTTTTTTTTTTTGTATTTTTAGTAAAGACGGGGTTTCTCCATGTTGGTCAGGCTGGTCTCAAACTCCTGACCTCAGGTGATCCACCCACCTCAGCCTCCCAAAGTGCTGGGACTACAGGTGTGAGCCACCATGCCCAGCAAGTTGGATCCATTTTTCATAGAGAAAACTGAGCCTCAGAAATACAGGTGCTTTGTCCAAAGTCCCCGATGACAAATCTCAGAGATTTAGGGGATTTTTATTTCTAACAACGGGAACAATTATTTTTTCCGATAGAAAACAGGTCAAAAGTAGACTTTTTGGGTCAGAGCAAGAAGGGAGACCCAGAGTCCTGCTCCCTAAGCCTCCCCCTTGCTTGCCACGGAACATGTAGGGCTGTGCCGTCCACTGCCAATAGTCCATAGGCACGTGGGATCCCCTATGTTAAAATCTAAATCAATGAAATTAAATGAAATCTACAACTCAGTTGCACTAACCATATTTCAAGTGCTCAACATTCATAGTAGACCGTGTCAGAGCATTTCCAGCATTGCAGAAAGTTCTATTGGACAGTGTTGTCCTAGAGGGTTTTATAATATAAAGTCTGGAAATATCACCATGGAGCCCCAGGCTGCCTTAGCCTCTCTGAAACTTTTCTGCTCATAGACAGAATAGGAAAATAATAACAACAATAATAATCATATCTTGCTACTGGATAGTTGTGAGGCCTCAGTGGGATGATGTCTGTAAAATGCTAAGTATTTTATAAAACACTTTGCAGACAATGGCCATCTCTTTTTTTCAAAGTGATTATTAGTGATTCCATTTGCTATTATTTTAATTCATAGTTTGTTCCTGCATCAGTTTGCTCAGGATAATGGTCTGCAGCTCCATTCATGTCTCTGCAAAGGACGTGATCTTGTTCTTTTTGTGGCTGCATAGTATTCAATAGTGTGTATGTGCCACATTTTCTTTATCCAGTCTATCACTGGTGGGCATTTAGGTTGATGCTGTGTCTTTGCTATTGTGAATAGTGCTGCAGTGAACATATGTGTGCATGTGTCTTTATAATAGAATGATTTACATTCCTTTGGGTATATACCCAGTACAGGTCTTTGAGGAATCGCCACACTGCTTTCCACAATGGTTTCACTAATCTACACTCCCATCAACAGTGTATAATCATTTCTCTTTCTTCATAACCTTGCCAGCATCTGTTATTTTTTTGACTTTTTAATAATAGCCCATTCTGACTGGTGTGAGACGGTGTCTCAGACAATGACCATCTCCCTTAAAGGGGACTGTGTATGCCCCAGGATGTTTTTAAACATGCAGCTATCTGTAGCCATTGTGTGTAGGCTCCAGCTTTCTAGAGTCTAGAAACCAGTTCGTGTGGCCTTACGGTTTCCTTTCTGTGTTGTCATTACTTTGGTTCTGACATGGCCCTAAGATGACAGGCCATGGAGGGCTGGCCCATTTGTGCCCCTCCATGGCCAGACCCCTCTGAGAGCATGACCACCAGCCCACCCCAGTCATGCGAATGTGTAATTGCATTGGTCAGAGTCAACCACATCTTTTGCAGCTGTCCTGCCTCTGACTTTTCAGCATTGTGCTTTTACAAACTTTGTTCCCAAAGAAAACTTTCTTTATTCTTTGTACTCATATGTCTGTTTGTTGCTCAGCTCAAAAAGACCTGTCATGAAATATGGTACTGATTGGCAGATGTCTATGCCTGTCCATAAAATACCAACTTAAACTGCTTCTGGACAACTCTCATGTGGTTGCTAGGTACATGGTTAGATTTCCAGCCCAGCAGCACCTCAGTACACAGTGGCTTAGCAGGATGGGAGAAGGTTTCACCCCATGAATTCCAACAGAGGGCCTTAATGTTTGAATGTGCCTGTGTGTACGTGTGTGTGTTTATGTTTATTTTTTGAGGAATGGAGAGATGAGTGTTGGGTGGGACTTAGAAAGTCTAAATAAAACCAAGGTTCTGTATCTCCATGGCAACTTGGATATGGGAAGTATTGACGTTGCAAGTATCTCAGCTTTTTCAAGAAACCAACACCTTCCATGGCCCTAAGTCCTCAGGATACATGTGTTATCCAGAGTTTCAGTTTCCCTATGGATAGCCACAGAAGATGTCTATTGGCTCATAGAATCTTAGAATGCCACAGCTGAACAAGTGTCTCAGCAAGACCACAATGACCACCTCCTCTCACAGAGGAGAAACCAGAAATCCAAAAGGAGAAAGTGACTTTCCTCAGGTTGCACCATCATCCTAGCCTAGACTAGAACTCAGGTCCCTTTTACGTACTACTCCAGTGTTCTTGTTACACACCTTACTCTCACGATACACAAATTACTTTTGACCTTGTATAACTCTCCATCCCATATTTCTATAGGTCTCACTATTGCTGGCTGTTTCTCTTGACTTGCTGTCATCAAGCCAAGCTCTAGGTTGCTCTAGGTTACAAATGACAGTTCTAGGTTACCATCACTGTTGCCAATCAGTGCCCAGTTCTCTTCTGCTACTGCTTGATCTGATTCCCTTTAAATACTCTCAGAGCTTAATACCAAGTCTCTGATTCCCCCACCTTGAGATCAAAGCTTCAGAGTGTTTCTATGGATGAGACAAGTCCTACAGTTTTGCGCCACCTCAAACCATTATAGAAACAAAAAAATTAAAATGAAGAACATGGCTGTAAACCTGCCAAATAGTTTTGTTCCCATAGGGAGTCCTTCGGCAGCTGTCTCTGAAAGGATGCAGTATTTCACATCCTCTCTTTGCCATTTTTATTTTTATTTTTTTGCTTCACTGTTTTATGTTTTCTTGTTAAAGAAAGAAAGGCAATAAGGTTGAGAAAGTGTCATGAAATTGAGTCATCTCCAATTTAGTTTTCTTACTCATTTTAGAGTTGAGACGTTCATCCCTGCATTCCACAGTGATCATTTCAGCCTCGTTAAATAACTTTAACATTTGGAAACAATATCCAGGACCACTGATAGGGATCTAATCATAATTAGGGCCTGTAATCCCAGCACTTTGGGAAGCCAAGGTGGGTGGATACTTGAGGCCAGGAGTTCAAGTCCAGCCTGACCAACATGGTGAAACCTGTCTCTACTAAAACTGTAAAAATTAGCCGGGAGTGGTGGCAGGCACCTGTAATCCCAGTTATTTGGGAGGCTGAGGCACGAGAATCACTTGAATCCAGGAGGTGGAGGTGGCAGTGAGCTGAGATCGTACCATTGCACTCCAGCCTGGGCAACAGAGTGAGACTCCATCTGAATAATAATAATAATAATATTTAGGCACAATTGTGCCCTTGGAGAGATTACCTGATGCTTGTTTTCTGGGGCATGCATAGGATTTCTAAGGAAATGATAACATTCCACATTTTGAACCGCATGGTGATTTCAAGGATATATACGTATGTAAAAATTCATCAAGCATTTTATTGCACATACATTATACCTCAATAAAAATAAGTATATCAAAAAATTTAAAAGTGCTACGTTTATTGACGTGGAAATATATTCACTACGGAATGAGAGAAGAAAGCAATTTGTGAAATAGTTTGTGTGGCTTAATCACATTTTCAGGATTAAAACAAGGGTTGGCAAACTACAGCCCATGGACCCATCTGTTTTCCTAAATAACATTTTATTGGAACAGAGCAAAGTTCGTTTATTTACACATTCTCTATGGCTGCTTTGGCGCTATGTCTTGGTTTCCAAGGGCAGCCATAACAAAGGAATGCAACCTGAGTGGCTTAAACAACAGAAACGACTGTCTCGCAGCTCTGGAGGCTAGATGTCCAAGATCAGGGCACGTGCAGGACCACGCTTCCACCGAAGGCTCCAAGGAGGGATCTATCTGTTCCAGGTCTCTCTCCTGGCTTCTGGTAGCTCTTGGCTTGCAGCAGCATAACTCCAGGCTTCATATGGTATTCTCCCTGTATGCATGTCCGTGTTCAGATTTCTCCTTTTTATAAGGATGCCAGCCACAGTGGATTAGGGGTTCATCCTACTTCTGTATGAATGTTAGGGGTGGACACAGTGCAGCCCGTAACACCCTAGAACAGCAGAGTTTAATAGCTGCAACAGAGACTGTATGGCTCACAAAGCCTCAACTATTTATTATCTTGTGTTTACAGAAAAAAGTTTGCCAGTCTCTGTGTATGCGTGTTTGTGCATACTCATTAAAAAGTTTGGAAGGCTGTTCACTAACAACAAAGGTTGCATCTGAGTTATAGAATTATAGGTAGTTTTAATTTTAATGATTTTTAATACTTTTCTATATTATTTGGATTTTTAAACATTCTGCAATAATTTCTGTATGATAAATAAGCAGCACACATATTTCTCCTGGGAGGAAAAAATACCATTCCTATTTAGTTCCTTTCTCCTTCACATATACTACCACCAAATTCTTCTGCCCCTTAGTGGTTTATTTTTTTCTGATGCAAACCTTTCTAAATAGGCCAGTGTTCTCTACTGTTGGGAGTGTTAAGGACAAACACTTAGCAAACCAGCAAACTCGACTGTTTACTCACTTGGGTATATGGATCCTTCATGTCTTTATTTAGCTGCCTCTTGTAAGTTGGAGAGAAAAGGTTCTGGCTTTTATCTCCTCATTAAAAATAGATTCTTTTATGACGAGGGGATAGAGAGGCCATGAGTCATCATCACCAGCATGAAAGAAAGTGTGTGATGCTTTCAGGATCAGGCCTCAGGAGCCAGACCCCGAGGTGGTACCTGGCCATCCCTCTGACCCCCTGGTTTCTTGTCATTTCAGGAAGCTGGATGCTTTCATCTATGATGCCGCGGTCTTGAATTACAAGGCCGGGAGGGATGAAGGCTGCAAGCTGGTGACCATCGGGAGTGGGTACATCTTTGCCACCACCGGTTATGGAATTGCCCTTCAGAAAGGCTCTCCTTGGAAGAGGCAGATCGACCTGGCCTTGCTTCAGTTTGTGGGTGATGGTAAGACCCCAGGTGACCCCTTTCTTTAGGGGGACTTGAGACCCTCGCACTCGCTCTGTTTGTTCCTGGGCTTCCCAGTAGATCTTTGCATGATGAGTTTGCTCCCTAAAAATATTTACTGAGTTCCTGTCACATGAAACCATGGTTCTTTAGATTGCTTATAATGGAAAGCAATTCTAGATAACTAAATTTAACAAACAAAAGTATTCTAAGGATACAGTCTCTCTCGGGGGATTTAGGAAAGAGTTAAATAGGTTTAGAAAAAGACAGGAGACAGGGCAGTCCTGGTGCCTTAAGTGGGAATTCATAGGCCTTATCTCTAGGGCCGTGATTCTCAGAGGGTAAAGGGCAATTTTGTCCCCCAGGTGACATTTGGCAGTGCCTGGAGACACATTCAGTGATCACGGCTTGGAATCTGCTTGCTGATCTCATGGGTAGAGGCCAGGGCTAGAAGATGCAGGGAAACACCTTACAGGGTTCAGGACAGCCCCCTACATCACAAAACACAGAATTATCCAACTGCACATGTTGGTAGGCTGTGGTTGAGAGACCCTGCTGTACAAAATTACATAACTAGGCTGTAATCAGTCCCAATTTCATTCCAGAGAAAGGATTCCTGATGCATTTTGAGGTCAAAGACTCTTTCCTAGACTCACCAGGCATGACTCAGGGTGGGGTCAGGTTGTACCAACTTGGCAACTCATGTTCTTCTCCCATGGAGGAATGAAGGAAACTCAATCTCTGTTACAGCCTAATGAGACTGTGGCATTTATAGAACTAAACAGCCACTTGGGCCAGCTGTGTCACCAGAAGCATTTCCTCCTGTCTGCCCTTTCTACTTCATAGCTGGTAATCTCACTGTAGCCCAGAGTTTCCTGGCATGGCCTCTAGAGACTGGCCATGGCTTGGAATGGCAGGTTGGTTTCCTTTTCATTAATAACACTGAGGACATGGAAAAAGCAAAGTCAGCTCAGATAGCAGGTTAACACCAAAAATGAGCTCAGTATGAGGGGGATAGGAAGGCTCAGGCCAGAGGGCAGAAGCACCATTCTAATAGGTGGAGGCTATATTCAGAGATGGTTACTGAATGTGCTATGCTGGGCTAGAGGTGGGAGAGAAAAATCTAGTTACCACTACGGTGAAATGCAATATCAAAATAGGCAGAGGTTAGCTAGTGCGTAGGGTTGGTGTGAATTTGAATGAAGTGCACAATTACTTCTGGCTTCTTATCTGCTTTCTATTCACAGAATTAAATCCTAGATTCTCACAGTGCCATCAAGCATGCGAAAGGTGTTTTATATTTAACTCCCAAATAAGAACATCTGAGTCTTTGAATTCCCCTTAGGGCATTCGTACCTTCCTCAGATCACTGGCCATGTTCTCTGTTGTGTAATAATGATTTGTGGCTGTGTTGGTCAGCTTTTTGCTGTGAGATCTTAGAGGCGTACAACAATAAGCATTTCTTTTCCTCATGGTAGCGCAGGTTGAGTGGAAAAGCTCTGCCTGGGGTGGGGATAGTGCCTCTGCTTCCTGCCACAAGCCCATGATTCAACAGTGTGGTCTCTGCTCCACACGTGTTTATGCTGTGTCTCAGGCTGAAAGGGTAGCAGCTACCTGGGGAAACTCTTTTCCTGGTTATGGCAGAAGCACAGAAAGGAATGCCTAGCTGCACAGGCACATTTCAAGCCGCTGCTTGGTCATGTTCATGTCTGCTAATATCCTTCTGTCCAAAGCAAGTCAGGTGTCCAAGTTCATGGTCAAGGGATTGCGGGTATACTCTACCTTTTATATGACAGATTTTGAAGTTTTATGGCAAAAGTGTGGACACTGAGAGTACACTGAAGAATTGGGGCCAAATGTTTTGCCTGTCACGGGGGTGGATAAACACCCTTACAGGGGGTGAACTACTCAGCAAACAGGAGTCTTGTTTCCAGCATTAAAACAAAACACTGAACATCACAGGTAATTGGTCAATAAAGGGTTGAATGAATAAATACGTGTGTAGATGAATGGTTGATATTAAGATGTATTTCACTCGGCAGGAAACTTTTAAATGTGATAGGTATCTGTCAAATAAGTGAGTTCTAACTCTAGCCCCACCCACCATTGGTGTCACTCTCGAACCATCTATTATAAAACAGCTAACATATTTAGGGACTTGGATATGTCAATCATCATACTGGATGCATTACATATGTTCCTCAATGTAATCTTCGTAACCTTATGAGGTTAAATGTTGCTTATTCCCACTTTACAGAGGAGGAAATTCAATCTCAGAGGGCAAATCCCCTAGCTAGTAAGGGGCAAAGCTTCTACTTCAGGGACCTTCCTCTGGAAGGGGACCAATTAGGGAAGACTGTTGTTACATTTAATTCTCTAAGGTATCTATCAAAGATGACTAATTCAACTCTTAAGATGTGTAAATCCTTTAGGAAGGAGTAATTTAGTGCACATCCGAACTAAATCTGTTGCATTTACAAATACTTCTGTGAAAGAAGTGATCTTTTTTAGCCTCAGTTTATTCATCTGTGAAAGGATACAGAAATATTTACCAAAAAGGTTGGTGTGAAGATGAAATGGGAGAATACATGTCAAGTGCATAGCTTAGCATAGACCCTGTAACGTAGAAGTGGTTCAATAAATGTTAGCCATCACCATCGTTGTTACAGAAAAGGGGTGCTGATGTAGCTCTCAAGAGAGGGTTCTTGGATCTCATGCAAGAAAGAATTCAGGGCGAGTCCATGGAGTAAAGTCAAAGCAAGTTTATTAAGAAAATGAAGGAATAAAAGAATGGCTACTCCATAGACAGAGCAGACCCAAGGGCTGCTGGTTGCCCATTTTTATGGTTATTTCTTGATGACATGCTAAACAAGGGGTGGATTATTCATGCATCCCTTTTTTAGACCATGTAGGGTAACTTCCTGACGTTGCCATGGCATTTGTAAACTGTCATGGCGCTGGTGGGAGTGTAGCAGTGGGGATGACCAGAGGTCACTCTCTTTGCCATCTTGGTTTTGGTGGGTTTTGGCCGGCTTCTTTACTGCAACCTGTTTTATCAGCAAGGTCTTTATGATCTATATCTTGTGCCCACCTTCTATCTCATCTTGTGACTTAGAATGCCTTAAGCCATTTGGGAATGCAGCCTAGTAGGGCTCAGCCTCATTTTACCCGGCTCCTATTTAAGATAAAGAGTTGTTTGGTTCACACACCTCTGATATCATTATTATCATTATCATCATCATCACCATCACCATCATCATCACCATCAGTCATTATCATCATCATCATCATGACCAATGCCATCATCCTTATTACCACCATCATCACCACCATCATCATGGCTGTCACCACCACCCTCCTCCTCCTCTTCATCCTTCTCCTTCTCATCATCACCATAGTTGCCTGTGCACTACTCTAGTATCAAACAACTTCTTTAGTGTTGCACTGGCAATAATATAGTCAAGTTAGTAACATAGAAACGACGTTTGTGGTGCTAAACAGAAAAGGTCTTCTTTGCATCAAATAAAAAATAAACAGTAAAAGCATCCAGATGGGCCAGGGGTTTGTTGATATACTTACAGAACATCTAGGTTCTCATAGATATTTTCTGTTCTGGCTCATTGCCTTCCTGGTCAGACTGTTGGGGTTGGGAAGTGTGTCTTTTCAGCTTCATCTCTTGAGGCCATCTGGAGGCAAAGACTTGGGAGAGAAAATGCCATTGCTCCAGGGGGTGTCTCCAGATGATCTTCCCGGAAAGCCATGACCAATTCTGAATGTCTCTCTAGGAGTAAATACATGAATTAACACAGCTGCATAAATATTTCACTTATCGTATGCAGCTTCAGCAGGATTAATTATGCTCTAAAATTAGATGTGTAAAGAGCACAGTGCTGAGCAGTACCTAATTATTCATCTAGAATGGAGTGTTTATCTCTTGTTATACAGTAGCTTCAGTGGACGATTATGAGTCTAATGAGTGTCAAAAGTATAAAAAATTTTCCTAATGAGCTGTGTAAATATAACCTTTGAATGGAGTGTTTGGTTATTGAGGGAACCTCTTACGTGAAGCCTGCCACGCATTTCCCTAGGAAAAAGACTGCTCATCTGCCTGGAAGCATACACAAGATCCTAGCAAGATGTGGCCTTCCTTTTCCCATCTAATTGTCTGTGGTCTTTCTAAAATGATAGAGTGCACCATGGCATCTTTGACTCTCAGTCCTGGAGTAGCAGTGCTCATTGGCACTTTCCGGCATTGATCAGCATCGATACCCAACATTTACTGAGAAACAGATGCCTTCGTAGGCACTGATGTTCCAAGAAGGGGATCTCATGGTCTTTTTCTTCTTACCCTCAATGAACTTACAGTCCAGTAGGTTAACAGATATATAAATGCAAAACATCTTATCCTAAAATTGAAACATGTCTAGTAGTTCACATATATAAATTTATATCATATATGTATATATACACATATGTAGACATAAATACATATATACATACATGTGTTATATATGTGGTATATATTCTTATGTATGTATATGTATATACATATATATTCTTCTTAGGTGTGTTGGGTAGATGATAGAGTGGTCAAGGAGAAATACGAGACATAACTAGTATGTTTAAATATAAGAATAAAGGACAGAATGATTCATAAAACAAGTGTGGCAAGATTTAGACAAAAAATAGAATGGGCCAGGGTTCATAGAAGCCTCTGCCATTTATTCATCCAGCACCCAGCAACTCTTTATTGAGTACCTCGATTCTGCTTGGTCCCTAAAAGGTGACACTTGAGTGAGAACCTGAAGACTGGGTAAGCCTTGCACTTAAAGAATGGCATTTCTGGCTTTGAAGTAAAGGTGAACAGAGGATCCCATAGGTCCCATCTATCTCATACATTTTGTGATTTTCAAAAAAATGATTCTGGGATTTGAAGAAGCGGAAGAAAGACCATAAAGGTCAAACCCTTCTGATATCTAGGGACCAGAAAACAAGATACC